ATTTCCATCAGGAAAAGTAATCTTTTTATCCAGTGTTGTTTGAACAGTCGGATAATATGGGGGGAAAGTAACCTTGACCCTTAACCTCATATAAAAATTAACTCCAAATGGATCCACTGATATAAAATGCAAACTAATCTATAAATGACATAAAGCAGATCAGTAGTTGTGTGGGAACAAAGTGAGAGGCATGAATTATAAAGAGGCACGAGGAAACTTTTGGAAGTAATGGACATGTACTTTATTTTGATTGTGATTGTGGCTGTGGTTTCTTGGATGTATGCGTATATCAAAACGTTAAAAATCTAATTACTTCCCCATTCACACACACACTATTTTTTTTTCAGATTGAATATGAACACAGAGCACCAGAGTGTCGGCTGGGTCTAAAGGAAGGCCGTCCATTCTCAGGGGTCACCGCATGTCTGGACTTCTGTGCACATGCCCATAGAGACTTGCACAACATGCAGAATGGCAGCACATTGGTAAGTGCAGCTGGAGACAGCTTAGCAGTGCCTTCTGTTGAAAAGTGAAAGGATGAGAGTTAGTAGCATTTGGTTAGAGTAATATGTTCTCTGCAGGTGTCACTGGACAACAGTGTTCTCACGAATGAATTGCTGTTGCAAGGTGACCTTCTTTGGCATAACTAGCACTCATAACAGGTTGGTACATTCATGGAAAACTGTTGACAGTCATAAGAATGATGGATATTCTTAGTGCTAATTACAGTTAGCTGCGAAGAAAATTTCTCAAAATTCAGTGAGATACTGGTGGGTCATAATCAATTAAGGAAAATAAATAAAAACCATATACAAGCCAAGGAATCAATGCACCTTGCAGAGAGAAGTGCAAATGAAAATGCATAGTCATTATCACAGTAACCATCATAGAAAGTTAAGAGTGCAAACCAGCCCATTATGACTATATATTACGGTGGGAGAAATGGGTTAGGTCTTGTAATTAGAGGCTGAAATGGATAAGGTCAAAGGGTGGAGCAATGTTCCATACCAGCCATTGCCTTGTATGTAAAGGGATGATCCAGAGTGGAGATAAAGAACAAAAAAAATGCAGATGAAGAAACCGTAAATGAATCAACCTAGTGGGCCA